TGGATGGATGGATGGATAGGTCAGTGGGTAGATGGATGGGTGGATGGCTTGGCATCACTGAACATGGTCATACTTTGGCTTCCAACAGATGCTGTTTTTTCTATTCCTAGTTTTGCCCTCGCCTTCCCCTCAGAGGAGCACTGGTTCAGCAGCCTCTGCCCCAGTGGGCCTGGTCCCAGCGGCCAACGGAGAGCTCTCCAGTCATGCCCCCTCAGCAGCTTATCCACCTGACGTGCTGGCTTCTCAGAATGAGAGTGAGACTGAGGAGCACCTGAACCCGACGGAGAAGCTCCAGTAAGGGCGTGACACCCTGTGGGGACCCTGCGCCGCGGGGTCAGGGTGGGGGGCACTGGGAGGGTTGTAGGAAAGACGTTTGGGAACCAGGTTGTGCAACGGTTAAAGGTTCCACATGTCGTCGTTATCGAGGGGGAAAGCTGTTGATGCTCTGAGTCCTTCCAGAGAAGTGCAGGCCGTGGTACAGAAGGCAACGTGGGCACCAGTAGGCTTGCTGCTCAGAATAGCCTCATCTTGCATTCAGGGATCAGGGCCCCGTTGTCGGTCCCTTGGAGGGGGTACTTTACGAGTAACTGTTTCTGGTGGTGCTGGCTCAGAGCGGGAGGATTTCTGGAGATCGTAGGCCAAATGAGCTGCTCCTGCAAATGAAGGCCAAGCAAAGCCTCAGTTCTGTGTATTGCCATCATCACCTAAACCTTCCTGTGTCTGTCCGAGAAGGAGACTCCCAGTGCCACATGGGGACACGAGTTTAATCACTGTCTAGTTCCAGCTCTCCCCCCTTAATTGAAATACAGCTTTGACCTCGGGGCTGCTTTGCGGGGCATGTGCCCAGTTCAGGACGTTGGAAGGAGCAGCATGGGTTCGTCTGTGGGGCTTTTTCTGAAATAAAATGGTGAGACAAGAGGCAGCTAGGCGGAGCAGTGGAGCAAGGACCTGAGATCAGATCCAGCCTCGCACACTCTATAGCCGTGTGGCCCTGAGCAAGCCACTTAACCTCCGTCTGCCTGAGTTTCCTCATCTGTGATTACAGTGAGATTGTTCAGATGAGGTGACACGTTTAAATCACTCGGTGAATCTTTAAGCTTTCACTCAGTTGGTTTTATGGAGCCTGGTGATCTCTGTCCTGCAGGAAGCTGAATGAAGTTCGGAAGAGACTAAATGAGCTGAGGGAGTTGGTCCATTATTACGAGCAGACGTCGGACATGATGACTGACGCCGTGAATGAGAACACCCGAGACGGAGAAGAGACAGAGGAGTCTGAATACGGCTCGGACCACGAGAACCCGGGGCCCGTCACCAACGTTCGGTGAGAAGCAGGTCTCCGCATCCTCTCTCCCCCAACCCCTTCGTTTCTCGTGGGCTGGGGTCTCTGTAAGTCGGGCTTCAGGGGTGATGAGGCTGGGGCTCTGTGGAGCTCCAGCCCCTCCTGGGCGTCAGGGAGTCTGAGCACCTGGCAGTCAGTGAGTCAAGGCACTAACATGCTCCCTGGGCGCCAGGCCCTGGGCTCTGCCCTCCGTGCGCTTGGGCTTCATCAGGAGAGAGCACCCGGAGCGGGCAGGGTGGTCCCGGCGTGTGCCGGTGGAGCCCGGGCGTGCGGCTTGGCTTTCCCCTTCCTCACAGACACTGCGGCCCTCCCAGATGAGGCGGAGTGAGGGTGGGGGGATGGGGGGCAAAGGCGCAGTGGGTCAGGGCCTTCATCCAGAGACAGGAGGCTTGGACTCTGGTGAGAAGGAGCAACTCTGGCTCCCTTTAGGAACCCCCAGGGTGCTGCAGGTTGGCCCGAAGTGAACAGTAAGGTGAACGCACAGTGCGTCGTCAACAACAGGGACGGGAGAAGCCTGAACGCGAACTGTGAGATCAACAACAGATCTGCCGCAAACTTACGCCCCCTGAACGTGTCCTCCTCTCTTGGTAAGCCTTCCCCAGGGGCCGACCCGGTCCTGCATCTCAGGCTCGCATGCATGCGCACCCCTTATCTGGTTTTTGGTTTTTTTTTTGTTTTGTTTGTTTGGTTTTTTTGGGGGGGTTTTTTTAGGCAATTGGGGTTAAGTGACTTGCCTAGGGTCACACAGCTAGTAAATGTCAAGTGTGTGGTCTGAGGCCAGATTTGAACTCAGGTTCCTCCTGACTTCAGGGCCGGTGCTCTGTCCACTGTGCCACCTAGCTGCCCCTTACACCCCTTATCTGTAAGAGCACCCGTCTAGGATCCCAGGCAGAATGCTGTGTTTGGCATTCAGAGACCTCCTGGAAGTCCCACCTAAACTCTTACTTTCTGCAGGGAGCCTTCCCCCACCCCTCTTCCTTCCAGTGCTTTCTTCCTCATCATTGTTTCCTGTTTATCTCATATTTATTGTATTAGTATTATCTCAGGTTCGTTGCTTGTTCTCCTCTCCACTAGATTGTTTGTGTCCCCTGTGCCTGAAGTACAGTAGGCGCTTAATAAATGTTTCTGCGCTGACGAATTGATTTTCCATGTAGAGTGCCGGTATAACAGGGAGGGAGGACAAGATCTTGATGGAGGACAGGGGGAAGATGAGGAGGAGGAGGAAGAGGCTGAAGAGGATGGAGGCAGCGAAGCGTCGTTATCCACTCACAGAAGCAGCTTGGGGGATGATGCCCCTGAGGACCCCGACTTTGAACAAAAGGTCAGCAGGCTGATGGCTGCCAAGCAGAAGCTGAGACAGTTACAGGATCTGGTCACTATGGTGCAGGTGAGGCGGGGGGGGACGAGCTGACCCTCACATGAAGGGTGAGACCCATTCGAGTGGATGTGGCAGATGACCAGGGGCTGAGCCTTCGGGCCCCGGTGCTCGTCTGTGTCCCGCGCAGTCTAGACCTGCTCTTCTGCTCTTCCTGATGTCGGCGAGGAAGCGGTCGGCCCTTGAGCTTTCTGTATCTGCTTTGTGACCAAACTTTATCCTGCAATGTGCGGCCTGTTCTCAGCTTGGGGGCTCGGGCAGCCTGGACGCCCCGCAGTTGGAGGGTGCCGGCGGGACTTCTCCCTTCACTGGGGTCTTGGGTGGTTCGGTGTCTGGTCCTAAATCACTTTCACCTTCATGTTGTGGTCAGAGTCCTGGTCTTTGTTTGCTGACTTAGCTCTGTGGGGGCTAAAAGAGTGATACCAGAAGGCCGTTGAGGGCTGGGATGGTTGGCGTCTGTGGGTGGCAGGATCCCATTGGTGGAGCCGGTGGTCTGAGGTCACTTCTTTCACAGGAGGACGGTGAGCCCGGTGCCGTCTCAGCCAGCACATCTCACCTGGGGGACTTCTTCCCAGTGGAGGAGGCGGAGACCAATCAGCGCTCCAACAACACGAGAGCCAGCAGCAGTAAGGTGCAGGAGGCCGGGCTCCACGACAAGGCGAGGTACGCTCCCTCAGCCCTGGGGCCTGCGGCTTTGGCCGTGGCCGTCTCTGCCGCTGGTCAGGGGCACATGCATCACCTCCCTCTTGTTGCAGAGAGAAATTCTACGAAGCGAAATTGCAGCAGCAGCAGAAAGAGCTCAGACAGCTGCAGGAGGAAAGAAAGATGCTGATTGAGATTCAGGAGAAAATCCAGGCCCTGCAGAAGGCGTGTCCTGACCTCCAGGTAGCTCTGGCCCCGGGGCTGCCTCGGCCAGCCTCGGGCAGGTGTCCCGCACCAGGTTCTCTCGGGCTGCTGGGGGGTGGTGTCTCAGAGAGACTTGGCCTCAGTGTCCCCATCTGTCCCATGAAAAGGGTCGAACTGAAAGGCCTCTGAGATCACTCGTGATCTCGATGCTGAGGACCCCCGTGAGTCCTGGTTCCTCGGCTCCCATCGGGGGTGGGGCAAAACCGTGACTCTCAGATGTTCGCTGATGGGAGGCAAACCCGTCTGACTCCCTTTGCAGCTTTCTCCTGCCAATGTGGGTAACTGCTCCTCTAAGAAGTATGTGCAGGCGCTGACCTCGACGCCGGCTGTGAATGAGCACGAGAACAGCCCCGCCAACAAAGCGGGGTTTGCGCCGGACGAACCCGCGGGGGCAGCAGGGGCGGATAACGAGGTAGGCAGGGGCAGAGGGGTGCGCGTGGCACCGCTGCCACTCGGCTCCCTTCAGGTCTGCTTTGGAATGTCTCTGAGGAGTCGAGGCTTCACGTCTGCTCGAGCGGCCACGCGGCTGGTGCTCTCGCCCTCCCGAAGCAGGACGTGGATTTAGATTTTAAAAGAGAGAGGACTCTTGGAAATGTCCGAGGTCTCAATCTTTCAGGCTCAATCAGAGTCTCTGAGACGCTGTTGGCGCCATTTCACAGCGATTTCAAGGTGTTTTGGGTTTCTGTCATCAGATCGTACATATCAAGTAGGGAAATTTTCTGAGGGCAGGATCGTCCTGGATTTGACTTTGTTGTCTGAATTTTTGTCTGAATGTAGTCTTTTAGAAAAATGTGTGGGAAATACTTGGCTGGCGTCCATTTTCATCAGCCTGAGTGAATGTCTGAAGTATTTCTCTTGTTGAGGCGTCCTCTTGACCTTCGTTGTAGGCCTTTTGTTTCCGTGTCCGTGGCATTTATGAAGTGTCTGCTGTGTGCTCGCTGAGCACTGTCCGCAAAGCTGCCAAGTCAGCTGACAAAACGAAGGTTTTTATTGGAAGCTGGCGGCCCCTGAAAGGGCAAATCAAGAAGTAGTTGTGACAGCAGGCGTGTGCCCCAGTGTTGAGTTGGGACTCACTGTGCTTTCCTTTTTTTTTTTTTAAACAGCTGTGGTCAGAAATGCGAAGACACGAGATTTTAAGGGAAGAATTAAGGCAAAGAAGAAAGCAGCTGGAAGCCCTCATGGCCGAGCACCAGCGGAGGCGTGATTTAACGGAGACGGCGTCCATGGCTGCCGTGTCAGTCAGGAGCGATGGTTCTGAGAATCCGTGCACCCCGCGGCAGAGCAGAACAGAGAAGTAAGAACCCCGCCTGTGCCGCTTGTTCTGAACCCGGCTCCTCTCTGGACAGCCAGCCTGTCTCATCGCGCTCTCCCTGGCACCCCAGCTCCCTGCCCTTCCTGGCCATGGGGCCGGCTCTGGAACACTCAGGCGCTCTGTCTCCCCCTCTCCTTTCTCTCCTCTCTCTCTCTGTTTCTCATCTCTCTCTCTCTCTCTCTTTCTCTCCCCCCCCACTCTCTTTCTCTCTTGTCTCTTTCCCCATCTCTCTTCCTACTCTCTGTCTCTGTCTCTCTGTCTTTCTCTCCCCCCTTCCCAGCCTCTCTCTCCCTATTCTCTCTCTCTGTGTCTCTCTCTTTCCCTCTCTCTCCCTATTTTCTGTCTCTCTCTCTATCCCTCTCTGTCTCTGTCTCTCTCGTCATCTTCCGCTGAGGCCTGCTGGGTCTCTGTAACCCAGCTCCCAGAGCCCCACTTCTTGGGCTCCACCTGGTCTGACCTTGGTCTGGTAAAGTGAAGGGAGCAGCCCTGGTCTTGGGTTCAGAATATGCCAGCCTGAGTGCTTCCCTGGGTAGCTTGGTGACCCTGGCCGGGGTGTTTGCACCTCGGTTTCCTTCACTGCTGAAGTGCAGAGGCCAGCCCCTCTTGGGTGCCACTGTCTCATTCTCTGCTGGGCACCCTTCTCATGTTGGTCCCGTAAGCTCATGCTCAGTGCTTACGTCCTTGCTGCTGCGTCCCAGTCTGGGGAAGCTCATTCTTCTGTGCGTTCTCCTTGACCCCAGACGCTGTGTCTGCCCAGTGCTACGGGCTCCTGGTGCCGTTCTTTCAAGGCCGGGCCTCGCTTTCTGTCAGGCTAGGGGGGCTGCAGCGCACAAAACACCCGGCCTGGAGTCAGGAAGGCCCAACTTCAAATCCAGCCTCAGACACTTACTAGCTGTGTGACCCTGGGGAAGTCACTTCACCTCTGTTTGCCTCAGTGTCCTCAGATGGAAAAGAGGGATAAGAAAAGCACCTTGCCCCTAGGGTGGTTGTGAGGATACAGTAAGATAGTCATGGTAAAGTGTTTAGCACAGTGGCTGACACAGAGTAGCTGCCATATAAATGTAAGCTCGTCATGGTAATAGTAGTGGTAGTGTTCTGCACAAACATTAGTTGTTACTGTTATCCTTCCCTGGCTCTGTGTCCACATCCACATCTGACTCTTTGGACCCCTCCCCTTCTCCTTCTCCTTTCTGTGCTCACAAGAGCTTGCCTTTGCTGCTGGGCAGGGGCTCTCCCTGGTTCAGCTCTGCTGGGCCTGGGGAAGACAGGCTTTTAACTTCTGCCCTGTCAGAGGCTACTAAAGGAACATTCTCCCGTTGGGCCAGGAGGGCGGTGATCGATGGCAGCAGGCCCGGACCGAGCTGCCTCCCGCCAGCGTCATCGCTGACGGTTCCTGTGGTGCTCTGGTGGGCTCACCGTCACCTTCCTCCTTTCATCCACGTGCCCTGTGCTCTGCTCCAGTGATGCCCCTCCTGGCCTCCCCTTGTCCTGGAGCTCAGCCCACTGAGGCCCTGTGGGCCATCTTGCACGGCTTCAGACTTGAGCCTACCTCAGATCCCACTTGTGGCTGCCGCCAGAACTCCCCCCTCCCCCCCCACAAAGGCCTCTCCCCAATGTGTGAAACCTCACGGGACAGTGGGGGAGGGGCACACTCCGAGGACGTCATGTCTGGGGGCTGCCCCCTGCACCTTAGCCGTTGGTACTGGGCATTTGGTGGAGACATGATAGGTTACATCTTTGTGACTTTTTTGTCTTTGTTAGCATAAGGTTTGCAACACGTAGTGCAGAGAGCGCCGGGCCTGCCTCTGGGTTGTTGTGAGATATCCGTAAAGTGCTTCGCACAATGTCTGGCACACAGTAGGAACTTAATAAATGCTCGTACCCCTCCCTTCCTAACCTAGGGAGGTGTAAGTGCTTTTATCTCCAGTTTACAGTTGAGGAAACTGAGGCAAGCAGTGCTGAAGGGACTGGTCCAGTGCCTGAGGCTGGTAGCAGGTGTTTCTAGAGCACTTACTAGTGCTAAGCACTTTAGAATCTTGGTCTCCACGGTTCCTCACGTCAGCCCTGAGAGCAGGTGCTGCTGTGACCCTCACTGTATGGGTGATGTGACTGGCCCAGAGTGGCGCGCAGCTCATGAGTGCCAGCTGTTGCCCGCTCCAGGACTAGCGCTCTGCGCACTGTGGAGCTCTCTCCTCCACCATCATTCTTTTGCTCATTTGGGATGTTCTCCGTGGTGGTCTGTCTTGGTGGATCCACCTCCTTCTCAGTTTAAAGCCCTTTGATAGAGCTCTTAGACTCTGGGCAGATTCCTTTTCACCAGCCTTTTGTAGAGGCGTTCCTTCCCTGGCCGCGAGCCCGCCTTGACAGCCTGTTCGCTCCCCAGATGCACCTTCCTCTCCTGATGTGCTTGCCAGTGGTGACAGCACCCCCTGAGCTCCTGCGGCCTTCAGCTTCATTCCCATGAGGCGCCAGACAGCCCAGGACCAGTGAGGAGAATAGCTCTCCTAGAGCCAGAGACTGGGAGTCCGGGTGGCAGCCGGGGCGCCGTTCTGGGCGTGGCTGCCCGTGGTGGCAGCAGAAGGGGATGGAGAGCTAGCTGCAGGGAGCTAGGACCGGAGCTGCCAGAGCCAGTCGGAGGAGGCTGGGGGCAGCCCCCCTCCAGCAGTGACAGTGTTAGCCATCGCATGTCTGTGACAGGAATTATTACTGAAGATGTTTGGCATGTGTGCACAATTGACTGTATTTTATGTCATAATCGTTAGAACAATGGCAACTTGGGGAAGTTCTACCCAGTGTGCCCTGGATGAAGAAGACGGCGAGGAAGATGGGTACCTTTCTGATGGAGTCGCTCGAGCAGAAGAGGAGGAGGAGGAGGAACAGGATGCCAGCTCCAGTGATGGCTTTGCCATGTATCCTCCTAACGGCGTGACTCGCAATCCCTATGGGGTCAAGGAGAACAAGGCTAGGTTAGTGTGGGGCCTTTTCTCTGGAGGGGCAGGGCAGAGGAAAGAACGGGGAGTCAGGAGGGCCGGGTGCCCTTTGGGCCTTAGCGGTGCCCTGGGGTGGCAATGCTTGTGGGGAGGCCAGCCCCCTGAGCTCGTCGGCATCCCGCACTCTGCCATCTTGGTGTGAGCTGAATGGGGCAGTGCTGATGAGTGGTTGGTTTTGGTTTTGGTTTTTCTGTGTGATCTTTGATTTGAGGATTAGTACCTGGCTCTGGGTCTTCCCCAAGGTCTTCCGTACAGCCCCCCTGCATTGGCACGTGCCGGGATTTAAATAGGGTATCATGAAGCTGTGACATTTAGCAGTGTTGTCAGGGTTTCTTCTCTAGAAGAGGGAAAGTGTGGTTCCCAGTCATGTATTTGAAAACAAGAAATCTTGCCTTCCTGACATTTTTTCCACTTTCAGTCAGTGACTCCGTTTCTTACTTTTGCTGAAGCACTTTTACAGTGCTTTGTCAGGCATTCACAGCAGCGGAGGAGCCGTAGGCAGCATCGTCGTGTCGAGATCCTTGTCAGAACCAAAGGGTCTGACTGACTCAGACAGATGACTGTCCTTCCGGATGGACCGGGGGGTTCATGGTCATTTCTTGCTGCTCTCTTGGGGGCCCCCCCCCAATGGTGGGATGCATCTCCATCCGGCCCGTCATTGATCGCGGGTCTGGTTTGGGAGGCATCAGTGGCTTCTTCCACCCCTCTTCTGGAAAAGCTTCTCACTCGTAGCTGAAACGATTATCAAAATTAACTGGGGATTCCAGAGGCCCCAGTTCCACGCTTGTGTTCCCCAAATGCCCTTCCCTGAATCAGCTGCATAAAATGCTGAATGTGTGTTCCCGTAGAATAGGAGGGGAAACTGGACTGTGATTTCAGTGGCACCACAGAATCTCAGTGAGAAAACTCCCTCCGTCCCAGCAGAGCTCAGCCCCTTCCCTGAGCATTGCCTAGAGAGAGACGCAGGGTGTGGCCTGGCCTGAGAGAGGACGCCACCGATTGGTGTGATCTGTGATGCTGTTTATTTTATGATGTATATTTTGTTCCATGACACTTGTCCTAATTACGCGTCCACACGGTTGGGACATGTTGGCCCACCGTCATTGACCCCCAGGGCCCAGAGCGGTGAGTGTTTAGAGCCAGGTCTTCTTCTTGGCTTCGGGTCTTGCTTTCTATCCATCCTTCCTCTCTCAGAGAAAGAATGATATCAGTGGGTTTTTCCACCCAGCTTGCTTTTCATAATACTTTTCTGCCCTGGTTCCCAGGGAAAACCATCCCCCAGCCACGGCAGCTAGTTAAAAAAGGAATGGAGCACCTCAGGGAACCTTTCCTCTCTGCAGTTTGGAGTTGGGTTTTTAGCATTCTGGTGCACAGGTGAAAGAGCGAGGTCAGTGGGGAGGAAGGAAGACGGACGCACCTGGCCCAGGGCTGCCCAGGGCTCCCCTTGGCTCTGTCTGGAGAAATCAGTGAGGCTTTTCCCTCCACTGAGATCCCTTTGCTCTTTGTCGGCCCTCACAGTCCAAGGAGACGTTGCGCAAGGATTCTGCAGCGTCTCATTCACGTAAAAATCCTGGCTAGCTGGCTTTTGGCTACGTCTCCGTGAAGGATCTCAGAAGCACCACGGCCTCCTTTGTGTTCTGCTTGGTCAGGGTTCGCTTTCCCTTCAGTACCCAAAGAGCAGGTGGGCAGGAGCCCACAAGTCAGAAAGAACGAGCTGCCATGTTGACTGACCCTACGTGGGTTCTCAGAGCCCTCTGGGGCTAGGACGGGTCTAGCCCCTGAGCTCTCGCTCAGTCTTAGCCTCCCCTCCAGGACGTGCTTTGTTCAGTCTGCACCCAGTGGAGATACTGTGGCAGAGTGGATGCCCCTGGCCTCCCGGCCTCCCCAGGCCCCACCTGGTGAGGTGGCGCTTAGTACCCCATGTTATCAATTACCCCGCAGGTGGAAGGCCAGCCGGCCTCTTTCTGCGGATGGAAATTACCGTCCCCTGGCCAAGACGAGGCAGCAGAATATCAGCATGCGGCGGCAGGAGAACCTTCGCTGGGTGTCGGAGCTCTCGTACGTCGAGGAGAAAGAGCAGTGGCAGGAGCAGATAGACCAGCTCAAGAAGCAGCTGGACTTCAGCGTCAGCATCTGCCAGACGCTGATGCAGGACCAGCAGGTGGGCTGGCGGGCTGGGAGCGGGGTGGGGGCGGGGTGGGGGCGGGGTGGCGCCGGCACACCCCTGACGGGGCCTTTTCTGTTCCAGACCCTCTCCTGTTTGCTGCAAACTCTGCTCACGGGACCGTACAGCGTCATGCCCAGTAATGTGGCATCCCCCCAGGTCCATCTGATCATGCACCAGTTAAACCAGTGCTATACTCAGTTAACATGGCAGCAGAATAACGTTCAGAGGTAGGAACCAGCTCGAGTTGCCAGGACGATGGGGACTGGGCTCTCCTGCCCCCGGCTCTACCAGGCCCTTGTAGCGCTCCCCTCTGCTGCTTGTGGGTCTTTCCTCCCTGTCCGTGGGAAGGGCAGGAGGGGGGAGGCTGCTTGCTTAGGGCTCTCTGCAGTGCTCGTGAGCGTTTTAACCCAGAGAGGTGGGACTCTGGGCTCATACTCTGTTACTGACCCGTGTGGCAGAGATATCATGAGGAAGGTGAGGGATGCCAGGCGTTGCACCAAATGGCCGGTGGCATCGGTGGGCAGTGCTTCCCCCCGCCCCAGAGAAGCCAGGGGCGAGCGAGGCCTGGGGGCAGTGGTGTGTCCAGGCCTGCCTTTCCAGTAGAGCCCCGGATGCACACGCCCCCGCATCCCAGTTGGGCTTCCTGTCATTTCTTAGTGTCTCTCTTTCTGGGGCAGTCACAGAAACAGACTCATCGTTTTCTTTGTAGGCTGAGACAGATGCTGAGTGAACTGATGCGCCAGCGTGAGCACCAGCCCGAGAAGGCGGGCAGGAAGGAGCGAGGCAGCAGTGCGCCGCCGCCCCCCTCGCCAGCTTTGTTCTGTCCCTTCAGTTTCCCTGCCCAGCCCATGAGTCTCTTTAACCTCCCAGGATTTTCCCATTTCTCTTCATTTGCACCAGGTATGTTTGTTCTTCTTTCCTTTTCTTTTTTTTCTTTTTAAGGCAGTTGGGGTTAAGTGACTTGCCCAGGGTCACACAGCTAGTAAGTGTTACGTGTCTGAGACCAGGTTTGAACTCAGGTCCTTCTGACTCCAGGGCTGGTGCTCTATCCACTGCGTCTCTTTGCTGCCCCCTGCACCAGGTATATTTGGAGACCATAAAGGGAGCACAAATAAATGGCACGCTGTTGAGAATTATGTCTTTACCAACCGGTGAATTTTTTTAAAGGCCATCGTTAAATGGGATTGTATGTTTTCAAAGACTGCTGGTAATGTTTTCACGCTCTCCAGAGCAAGGACTCCAGTTGTTCTACTGTTTCCGAGGCTTATTGGAGAGCTCAATCTAGTTGGGGAGTGCGTCTTGTAGGGACTTCTTTTGCTCCTTTGAGGGGCCCTGGAGTGTTTGCTCTCCCACGATGGAACCTCTGACTGCTATACTCTTTACCCAGGAGCAGGGGCCCGCTCGGGACTGGGGGGAGCATCCCTTGCCAAGGCCTCCCGGGTCTCTGCGGCCTCTTCTGTCTGGAGGCAGCGCAGCCACGAAGCCAGCCTGTCTTTGACGGCGGCTCTGCAACAGCCGTAGGCTCAGATGGAGCACAAGCCTTGACCAGTTCTCTTCCCCAGCCACGCCCTTCTCGCTCCTCGAGAGAGGCCATGGGGCCTCCTTCTGGGCAGGAGGAGCGCCGCCCGCCCCCCAGGCCGCCGAGTAGGGAAGAGCCGAGCTGTGGCTCGAGGAGGTCACTCGCTCCCTCCATTGTGTTGCCCCACCACTCTGCCTTTGGTCTTTCTTTGTACCCACAGTCCTTAGCATGGTGCCTACACATAGGGGCTGCTTCCTCCGTGCTGGCTGACTGATTGGCCGGCAGCAGGAGTCCAGTCCTGGCAGTAGCACGTGTTTAATGACGCCAGAGATGGCCGCCTTCAACTTCTGCAGGGCCTGGGGGTGGAGGATGTCCACACGCGCTGTTGGTAGACTCTCTGAAACACTCCCACGAGAGCCTTGTCTAGGGACCGGTATGGAGAGACTGCGGACTCCTTGGCGCAGAGCTCAGATGTTAAAATAACAGCGAGGGTGACGTGGAGAGGCCATCAAGGAGCATTCATCAGTCGCGATCACCACTGTTTCCCATGCCAACTTAATGGACATAAAGCACCGCTAGGAGGAGGGCGCCGGCAGAGCCTGGGAACCGCCTCTCCCGCTGGCCAGCGCTCGACGTCCTTGCCAGGCCGAGGAAGAGGGCAGTCTTCGTTCACTGTGAGAAGTGCCACAGAGTGGGGTGGTGGAAGATTCTGAGTTCTTTCCCCTGACAGACCTGCACAGAGTAGCAGAGGGTGAGACCCAAATAACCACATGTGTTCCAAGGGAGTTTGTAGAGGCGACTGCAGGTAGAGCCCCTGCTCCCCGTGCTTCCCTGGGTCTAAGATGTTTCCTCTGATGAGGCAGACGCCATCAGAGCCGACTGACTGTTTTTAATGCTGCTGAGAAAAGGGGGGCCGGTCGCCGAGGTCCCATCTATTTCCTGTTGCGTTGGGATGTAAAGTAAGACCAGCTCCACCCATTCCACCGCTCCAAGGATAGCGAAGTAGAGTTGCTGTTGATGTGCTCTCGGCCCCGTGCCAAGAAGCTCCTCACGCTTTTGGAATATTTGGCGAATTGTTCCCTCGCTGCCCTTGTGAGGGACGGCATTGCCTCTAGCACAGGTCATCTCTGTGGACACCCGTGGAGTCACCTGTCCGTACCAGAGTCTCCTGTACCACATCTGGTAACGCCTCTTCCATGAGGGGCTGGAGTGTCCGGAGCCAAGGACAGGGGCCCTGCTGCCATTGATAGCAAGAGTCCTTGCAGATCTCTTCCTAGTCTGGTCATTGTTGTTTTCCACCTTCTGTTTCATCATCAGATGCCTCGGGATGACGTGGTTGCTTAGACCTCTTCTCAAGCCTCCCGTTAACCTGTGTTTTCCTTCCTTCCTCCTCTTTGTTTTATGAGTCGGGTGGCTCAAGGTCTCGCTTCCTCATTCTCCATAAGGTTGTACAAGCCTGTTGATATTCTAGCTCAGGGTTTCCTTTGGGGACCTCCTCTCTCTCTTTGGCAAATAGGTTTGGGGTTTGCCGACCAGGCTTTTTAATCTCATGGCCACGGGTCAGCTTCTGCTGAACTGCTGTATAAAGACGGTCATGATCTGTATTTGTGCGCTTCTGTTCATCCGCAGGAGCTGGTGCAGTAGCTCAGGAGGGAGCTGGTGCTGAATTCTTGGTGTGTCTTATTCTAACTTTGTGCAGGTTTTGATCTGTGCCCTGACGAGCCGGGATCTCCAGTGCATGCAGACAGCTTGATTCGGGAAGGACTTGTGCATCACACATAAGTTCCTGTCTGTTTCCAGCGTGATCGCTTTCCGCTTTTGTGGTCTTGTTTGGGGCTTGACATGTTTGATGCCTTCCAGTTCTTTTCTTAAAGAAATGATTTCTGATCTGTGGGTGTTCACTCTACCAGTGTCATTCATTGTTCTGGATCCAGTTTCTGCCTCTCCGCGGCTTTGTATGGAAGACCTCAGGGATCACGATACATGTGGGTTTCCTTTGGAGGGTCTCGGCAGGTTCTCTGTAGAAGACCACTCTATTCTCCGCAGCAGATGTTGGAGCTGAAGCTGCAGTTGTGTGCGGTGCTATTTTGTGCGGATAACTCATGACGATCCTTCTTACACAAGCTGGCTAAGTGGCCTGTGTCCCAGGGATGTCCTCTTGCCTTGGGGTGTAAAATGAGACCGGCTCCTCCAATTCCTTTAAGCATTTTCCCAAAGAGAATCTTTGATCCTTTCTTCTGTTTTGCTACAACCCGCTCTTACCTTCTGGCTTCTTTCATAGCAAGAATGGCTCCAAGATCGATAGCTGTCAGGACCTCCTGGCCCATGTCCACTTGTCAGCCACTGTGGGCCTTGAGCCCACACTTGGGTTACCAGCTACAAAATTAACCTCTATCGACTGAATCAGAGCCCTCTGCTCACCCTTTCTGCCAGTCTGCCCCATCCTTGCACAATCAGAAGGGAGCCAGGGAGGGGTTGGGAGCATTGTGTGTTTTTGTTGACTAGGCCCATGGCCCGTGAGGTCCCCTAGCCCAAGTAGCCAGCTTAGAAGCCCCTGGGCACCAGCCACTTATCACGTGCCTGGCGTGTAGCAGGTGCTGGGGGTGCATCGTCTTTCTCTGTCAGAGAGCTTCCGTTCTGATGGCCAGAGTAGGGGTTGGTCTCATGGGTTACCACCGCCTCCTGGTCACTGGGCAGTCTTCTCCGTAGCTCGGCAGGTCCTCGGATGGACGCACCTTGGAAGAAGCAGGGAGGCGGTACCCGTGGGAAAAGAGCTTTATTGGGGGCCACAGTCATTCGGGCATTGACAAGCATGGACTGCGTGCTTCACATCCTGGCACTAGAGTTACCAGGTATCTGGCCTTCTCTGGGTCTCGGTGGCCTACCTGTAAAATGAGGGTCATTTCTGGCTCTGAATCTGGGGTCCCGTGTCCTGAATGAGCTAGCCTTGAAGAAGCCATGAGGAGCGACAGATGGGAGAAACATCGACTCTCTGCCAGCATTTGTAGAGGGCTCTCTCATCATCCATGGCAGTTTTAGGGCGCAGAACCGCATTTGCTAAGAGAATTAGAAATGACTTTTAAGGCTATGGAGCTGGAATGCCCAGCCCCGTGGAAGACATACCTCCACTGGTGCCAGCATCAAAGCGTTGGTTTTCAGTACGTTTGAGAGTGGAAAAAATGACACGGCGGTGGTGGCAGGCGGTGCAGCAGACAGTGGGAACTACCCAGCCCTGGGCCTGTTTTCTCAGTTCTGTGCAGCCTCACCCTTGCCCAGGCAGATCAGTCACCAGGCTGGATTTGAGCTCTGCGTTCGTTCCGCGATCCCATCGTGTCTCACGTGTCTGCCCTGGGCAGATTCCCTATCGTTCGCGAGGTCCCTCTGGAGGCTGCAGACCTCCTCCATGAGGTCTGCGTTCCCTGAGAAGACAGCAGCCTTGCCCCAAACCAAACGGACAAAGAGTCCCTCTCCTGCAGCCGCTCGATCGTGTGCCACTGGTGGCAGAGGCAGGTGGCCGTGAGTCCTGGGGTAGCCACAGAAGGTCAGCCAGTGCAGATGGGGAGAAGGGGTGGTAAGGGAGGGCCTCCGCCCTTCCCAGGGCCGCGTGGGTGTGGACGATCCCAGCACATGATGCCAGGTGAGGTCCTGGGCTGCGGAGCAGTTCATGAAGGGAGCGGCCCTGCATGTAAAAAGCCACTCAGCTTTCGAATGAGATGAGGTATGTAGAAGGTTTCATTGTTACAGGCTTAGAATGACCCGATTCTAGAAATTGCATTCGTTAGTATGCGGGGTCACAACTTCCCAGTGCCTTGTCACATCTGTGACTTTGCTCTGACAGGTATGAATTTCAGTCCTTTATTTCCATCTAACTTTGGAGATTTTGCGCAAAACATCCCTCCGCCTGGCGAGCAGCAGCCACGACCAGCAGCTCAGAATATTCCAGGAAAAGCCGAGTACGTGGCATTTCCAAAACCCTTCGAGAGCAATTCCTCCATTGGAACCGAGAAACAAAGGTATTTAGTTCACAGAGAAGGTTTGGCGGGGGGGGGGGGGGGGGGG